GTACAACACACACAGTAACCTCCACAGTCTGCCCTTTGTTCCCATTCCATGGGGCCCACGCTCCGTGTTCTAAGGGATAGAGAACAGTTCCATTGGGATTTAATCCTACTGCAATGGTTGGGTATATGGTGCGTACCGAAGCATCGCAGGATGATCTGTCTGCAATCTCAGTCTACGCCAGGGACATGCTGTAAGAATAATTTCACAAGTTTTCCCATTTATAGGCCAGCCTTTACTCTGTGCAGCAAAGTGCTTCTTTACCTGTGTGGCCTTAATTTTGATGTAGCCATTCAATACCATTCCTAATCTAAGGTGACTCCTCATTCTAGTTAGCTCATCTACCTTCCGATTCCGCTTTGTGGCTGGTCGATTATCCTTAGCATGAGCTTTAACCCATCCAATCTTAAAAGGTGTTTTCCTGGCTATAGCTAGCAATAATTGCCAGTCTTTGCTTCTCCAAACTGGGGATTGGTTTACTTCCAAGTTTAAGGTTTCCCACTGACAGAGCCACTGTGTGGCACCGGCCCATACAGCATAAGAGTCTGCATCTATAATTTTTGCTCCATTCTGTGCTGCCAAAACGACTGCTCTTATTTCTCCTACTTGTGCCTTCACCTTCCTCTAGTACTTGTTTGCCAGAGGGAATATCTAACGCGACAGCGTTATAGTGCCATTTACCACTTCTTACTCTTTTTGCAGAAGCATCTGTAAACCCAAGGTTTTCTGTTGGGCTATTCTCAGTGAGAGGCGGTGCATCCAGAACGGGTGAAGGTTGAAAAGGTTGCTGTAATGCCAAAGGTTCTGTGTTTACAGGCATCTGCCATTTGGAAACCTTAAGAGTCCATCCTTCGGTTAACTCTCTATTTTCTGCAGCTCCTGTCAGATCAGCAGACCATTTTCTGACGGTAGGTTTCTGTGCAGCTCCTTCTGGGGAGCAGTTCCCTTGAGGATCGCTTCTTGTAAATTAAAGGGTCCTCTCGTTGGCACAGGTTGTCCCTGATGGATTTTCTCAACTTGTTTACCTGCTCAGGGACTAAAGACAAAAAGGCTTTTTTCCCATTCAGAGGACCCTTGTTCTGCCTCTTTAAACGCAATTGAGCTAAACAATAGAGGGTCTTTTCGGTCCATCAGGGCCAGCTTGGAACAGATTAGTGTTCCTAAAAGCCCCATTGGGCTATGATGGGGTGGCGGAGGTGTCCTGGTCCCAGTGACTGCGATGTTTTCAATTCTTCTACCAGAGTTTTTACTGCCTCGCTGTGTTCTGATCTCCACTCCCAGGATTTACCTTTCCGTAAAAGGGAGCCTAATATGTGTGAGAAACGGGCTGAGTTTGGCTTCCTAAAGTTCCCATTAATTGTTGCAATTCTTTCCTTGATTGGGGCATTTGCAGTTCTTCAATTTTCCTTAAAGTATCTGGGGGGATCAGGGCACTGCCTGCTCTCCAGCAAGTACACCCGTGGAATCCCCAGACCCCAGTGGACCCCTACTCACGGCAGCTCCTGGTGCAGGCAGGAGACCTTCGCTGCCCAGAGGCTTCTCTCTCTGCTCCCTCCCCAGCCAGAGACGCTCGGCACAGCCCTGTCCCAGCCCCACTGTCTGCTCCTAAGCCTGCCCCAGCCCCCCTACACGATTCAGGAAGGTCTCACAAATTCAGGGAGGGATCCCCAGGTGTCTGGGGGGGATCTCCATAAGGGGATCCAGCCATCCTCGGCCCAGCCCATCATCACCTCACGGCTCCCACCTGGGCTGCCCCAGCCCCAGCTGGAGCTCGCTAGCAAGAGGGGCCATGGCCACAGCCCCACAGCACGTCCACCCCTGCCCTAAAATACAGGACAGAGGGACCTGGAGATGTGGGGCACGGAGCCAGAAAATGGGGTGTGGGGGACAAGAGGGGTGCAGGGAGCAGGACAGTCCCACAGAGAGAGGAAAGACCGGGAAAAGAACGGGGACAAAGAGACACCCCCAACACCTACGGATCCCTGCAGAACACTGCAGACTCCTATGGACCCCTAGGGATGCCTGGAGTACCCTACAGACACCTGAAGACCCTGTAGACCCGTGCAAACACCTGCAGACCCCTAGGGATGCCTGGAGTACCCTACAGACACCTGAAGACCCTGTAGACCCGTGCAAACACCTGCAGACCCCTAGGGATGCCTGGAGTACCCTACAGACCCCTACGGACGCCTACGAACCCCTGTGAACCCCTGCAGACTGCTACGAACCCCTGTGGACCACTACTAACCCCTGCCAACCACTGCAGACCCCTGCAGACCCGTACAGAACCCCATGAACCCCTGCAGAACCCTAAAGATGACTACATACCACTACAGACCCCTGCAGACACCTATAGATGCCTGCAGACCCCTAAAGACCCCTACAGTCCCCTGCAGACCCCTATGGACCCCTGCAGGCCCCTACATACCCCCACGAACCCCTGCAGATCCCTACTAAACCCTGCAGAGCCCTACACACCCCTGCAGACACCTTACAGACCCCTACACACTCCTGCAGAGCCCTGCAGATGCCTACAGACCCCTGCAAACCCCTATAGACCCCTGCAGACCCAAGGGACCTTTACAGAACCCTGCAGATGCCTACAGACTCCTGCAGAGCCCTACGAACCCCTACAGACCCCTGCATATACTTGTAGACACCTCCATACCCCTGCAGACCCCTATGAACCTCTGCAGACCCCTGAAGACACCTGCATGACCCCTGCAGACGCCTTACAGACCCCTACACACCCCTGCAGAGCCCTATGAAACCCTGCAGCTGCCTACAGACCCCTGCAGAACTCTGCAGACCCCTACACACCCCTGCAGATGCCTACAGAACCCCTGCAGACCCCTGTAGACCATTGCAGACACCTGCAGACCTCTGGGGGGGGGGGACCCTGGGGGGGGCCGGGCATGGAAGGGGGGGAGCACCCTTGGTGGGGGGGAAGGGGGGG